CACAATTTACCAAATTTCTTACATTAATTACAATCAAATAGTTCCTGTGTCTGTTGGTGTGTTTTAATTTGTCTGTAGTGTCGACAAAATATCTTATGAACCACCTGATAGAATTGAACGAACTCTCAGAATGTAACAGTTTATATTTGTTATTGGATTCAAGATGGCCTCCACAGCTAATCCTTAGCAAACACAAAAATGGCAGTGACACAGTCAATTAGATAGTTACTGAGTTAAGATTTGGTGCGGTAGTGGCTGAGAGTCACCCTCAACTCGTACTCTAAGCGCTAGCTGACTTGTGCTCATCTTCGCACGTTGGAGTCAACTTTGTATGTCTGTTAGCAAAATATCTCCTGAACCACTTCAAATTTTTTAATGAAACTCACAGGAAGTAATCAAAAGATGCTCAACTACAGATGTTCAACTTTTGAAGCCAGTCTGTTTTTAGGTGGTTGCCACAGCCATTTGTCTTTAGGAAACACAAAAACGACTACAACTCTGTCAGTTTTATAAATAATGAACTAAAATTTGGTGTGATAGTAGCTAAAAGTCAGTTACAACATTTGATTTAAGTGATACACATTGGTAAAGATTTTGGCTTATAACCTTGGAATTGCACGTTGGAGACTTTAAAGTTTGTCTGTTAGCAAAATATCTCGTGAACTACTGAAAGGAATACAAAGAAACTCTCAGAAAGTAATTATTTGATTGATGAACTTTTGGGGTCAATCTAATTCATGATGACCACCACAGCTAATCGAATTTACCCAACACAACAATGTCTGTACGTCAGTTAGTTTTACAGATATGGAAGTATAGTTTGGTGTGGTAGTAGCTGAGCATCATTCACAACAAAAACACTGAAAGCTGATAAGATTGCACAAGATTTTTAAGTTTTGAATGAGATCCCACATGACATTGTTTTAAAAGTTAGACAAAAACAGCCAATACATTCTTATATTCCATGGTTTGTATTCCTCAATGGAAAGCTTTTCATTTTATAAATAAAACTCTTGATTTGTTGTTAGAATTCATAATATAATATGCACAGCATGATGGTTCTGCTCAGTAACTTTTTGTACTATTTTTATATAAGTGGCATCAGTTTAAATGTATCTGCTGTTTTATCTAAAGCAATAGTTTTAGTTTTAAAGCATTTTCAGATACAGTATCATAAAATGGTAGATAAAACTTTTCTCAGCACAGCTGCATTTTTTTCAGTCTTAGTGTTAAAGCAGGTGAAGCCAAACCAGAATAGGCCAAGGTGCCAGAATCAGAAGGCACCATCGCCCTGAGTGTCATCAAGCTGCTGCGGCTGCTAAGATCAGGTGGGAGGTGTTTGCTCCTTTATCTGAGTTCCTCCCCTGAGTCATTGTTTGAATGTCAGTCAGCAGGTAGCAATGTGAGCGATGTCTCACTGACATTTGTTTTTTAAATGGCATGTTTGTATTTCTGCGATGTGCTGAGAGAGAGATGATTGTAGTCAGCAGGAGCAGAAGTTTTCTGGAGATGAATGTGGATCCACCTCTTCAGTGAACTGCTCTCGTAGGTACTGTAACATGAGATTACGCTCATCTTCCTGCTCTGGCTCTTTGTTTAGCGTGTGGGTGTCGGTGACCCTCGTGTGGTAATTTGTCGAGTCCAAAATAGCGCTGCGTCTCATCTGACACCTGTAAGACCTTTACAGCTCTGCTAATAGCAACTTATTAATCAGTGAACGTGTACAAGAATTTAATTAAAACTAATATGTTACATTACATTAATGCTGTTTTGTTTTGACGAAGTTTTAAAAATTTATTGATTGTTTAAATGTTACTTTATTATTGTTTTTCACAATTATACATGTTTTATTAACTAAAATGAATCAGCATTAGGCTTTTTTCTTCTGCTTGAATGAGCTGTTGATGCTTCAGTCACTTGAATGTTTTATTAGGCAACGTGTAATTATATATGTGAATATTGTTTTAAAATTGGAGAACTTGTGTTTTAAATATCTTTTTGCAAACTTACTGATTTAGCTTTACAGTGAGCGCATATGAAGCTTTTGTTTTGAACAAAAGATAAGTATTTTAGCGTTTTCACAGACTTTAAACAAATTAATAATTAAATTAGCATCGAAAAATTTTAACATTAATATAAAAAATGACTGATTTTTTAAAAAGTGTAATTATATATGTGAATATTGTTTTAAAATT